AAGAAGCGGAAGCGCGGTCGTGGTTGGCAGTATCTGGTGAAGTGGAAGGGATACCCACATAGTGAGGATACATGGGAGACGGCGCAAAGGCTTGAGAACTCTCAAGAATTGTTAGACGAGTTCAACCAGAAGAACCCAGTGGTCAAGACCCGTAGTGTGCCTGTCCTTGCCCAGGGTCATTGGGATTACCTGGTCAAACGTTATAAGCCAACGCAAGAGAAGCTCCCATATCCGTCCCGGAAACTGTTTAATTATCAGACTGGCCATTTTGTGGAGGCTGAAGGGGGGGTGGATGATGAACGCGCTTTAATGCCCTCTGTCGACGAGGACGTCGACCTTGAAGGGGGGGTAATGTCAAACCCTGGGTTCAAAAACCCTTTTTCTTCGCCCTTTAAACCTTTGATTTTGGCCCTGGTTGATAAGATAAGACAAGGAGGAGATAAGATGGACGATAAGATGGTGATTGGATCATCAGATGTCGATGCTGATGTTGATTGACAGCGTGGAGTTGGACATGAGGCAAACAGCACGTAAAGGCATGGCTAAAGTATGACGTCATTGCCTCTCGTATTAGGCATGGTAAACACATGGTAGTAGTGTATATAAGTAGAGTAGATTTCGTCTTGTACCCCAGTCTTCGAATTGCATCATCTTTACGATATCTTTTCACGGTGCTTCTTGCTTGCCTTCACTGGCCAACTGGCATCCTCTGAATTGGTGTTGTTTGTGACATCTGGTAAGCTTAAAGAAATTTCTTTGAGCAGTCAAAGGGCTGACTGCCCAAAGACCCAAAGATACTTCTTTGTGCTCGGGGGCTGCTGTAATGCATGCTATCGAGCCGCCGTCGAGTCTGCCATGAACACGCCGTGGCTTGTATGCCGCGGAGTTTGCCTCCAGTGCATGGAGACGGTGTTCACTGGCTTCTCAAGCTGCGTCCCCTAAACAAGCCACCCCTCGAAGGAAGAAAGCGGGCGGTAAACCCCAGGGTATGTTACCACACATCCCCAAGATCTATGTCAACGTATGTGCCTTCTGTCTTGTGCCTACTTATAGCTACTAATGTGTTTGTACGGTCTCTTGCGTGATGCACTCTACGATATATTCCAGGTCATGGATGGCAAATCTTTTGCCATCATCAACTGGCAGACCTAAAGAAGGTTATCGACTATGAAAATCATGTAGAACCAGGTCCAACCAATCCACCACGATCGGATTATGGTCCTAATACGCACACCCATTTGAACGAAGCAGAAGGGCATATGGAAATAGAGAATGAAGTGCAAGATCGTTCTATAGGAGCACAGGAAGGTCACCTCGCTGCTTCCTGCGTCAATTCGGGCAAGCCATTTGATGAGCAAAAATCTTGAAAAAAACCTTGATTTTTTTTTCTAATTTTTTCTTGGCAAAAACTAGCTGCAAAAACTCGAAATTTTTATCCTAGTTTTGTCTCTGTATATAGTCAGACATTTTCTTAGTAATAAAGTTTTTGTTCTGATATTTTTCAGGCAAAAGTTGGCAAAAAAAAAGTTCAAATTTTGACTTAGAAAAAATTTATTCAATTTCAAATTTTTTACCTCACTTTTCACAGGGAAAAATTCTGGAAACGGCCCAGTGCTTCTTGTGTAACCACTGACACTATTGATTACAATACATATATATATGCAAGACTCATCCCAGGTACCCAAATATACTTCGCTATCACATCTAAACCATAGAACAAACCCACCATGAGCGGAATCTTGGGATAGGGTATGAAATACTCATAAAATACTCTCAGAATAATTGTTAACTTTATCAAATTGATTGATGTGGTAAAGAAAATACTATATATAGAACTGCTAACTCCTTTTCTTCAAGCCGATGACCCAGTATATAGTGGGGAAGGCCCGTGTCAATGTTTCTCCTAATTAGGACAAATGATATAGCTAGACATATCCATAAAAACTACTGATGGCAATCAAAAATTGTTCCACATTAATAATATTCTTTAAGATACATTTTTGTATAATAAATAACTACCTTGAATTGGGCATTTGCATTTCCGGCACGTTACATTGGCTCCTCATTAAAAATTGCTTTTTGAGACGGCGCGCTCCGCCGCTACCGTATCTTCAATGAGAGTCATAAGATCAACCACCCGCGGGCCAAAACGCCCCCGATAGCACCCGCCCCTGGGTTCAGCAACCGCAACCCATTCAACGGATGGGCCCAAAGCACGGTGATCGGCGCCACCGGACCGACCGTGGCCGCACCCCGAGGAAACAGGGCAACCACGGTCGCTGGACCCGCTACGGGGCCCGCACCTATGGAGATCGACCGAGCCCAGGCCCCTGCCACGGCCCAGAGCACTCGCTGCTACAATTGCGGACAAGAAGGACACATCAGCCCACCTCTCGCAGCTGGTGCAATGTGCAGCATCTGGGTTATAGCCCAAAAGTGCAATGCACAACATGTGGGGCTATTCTTATATCTCGATATATTATATTAAGGGAAGATGATATGACTAATATAAGGTCATATATAAGAAGGTAAATCACCTTTTCTTCAGGCCGATGATTCGATATGTAATATTATGGACTTAATAGAGCAGAAAGAGAATATCAATATTAAATTAAGTGGGAGTGATGCAAGATCACACAGTCATCAAAATCAGTGATCTCTTACAAAAATGGTTCCACACACAATAGATTACACAAGGAACATTGATCCCATCACTATATATATAATATAAGACACCAAAACAGTTAAAAGAGATAAAAATGAAATAAAATAATTCTTACGTTGCAGGAGACTGGGTTAGATCCCATATGTTGTGCATTGCACTTTTGGGTTATAACCAAGATGTTGCGCATTGCACCAGGTGTTCCAGCTGATCAGCCGAATGTGCCCAAACCGGGCCGCATCGGCCAACCAGATTCGTGCCATCTTTTCGGAGTTTATCAAAGATAACATGGATAAAACGGATTTTGGGGATTGTCGCAAGTGAAGCCTACGCCCTCGCCAACGTATACCACAAGTGTCTCTAGTTACAACCCGCATAATCAATATTCCGTGTTGCCAATCCAGAGATACATGGGACGAGACGTAGAAACCAACTCTGAACGAAAAATTCCGCAACCCACCATTTTCCCCCGCAAGAGAAGCCTGCACAAGGTCAGACGAGATACCCCAAGACCCGCTTGGAAGAACTGGCCCACAGCCAGTGCCGAAAGGCTCGTTGCTCAGATTGAAGACCAGCCCGAAAAGGCCCGCTCGAAACTACAACAGTGGATCCACCCGGCCCGACGAGCAGAGGACGGGCCCGAACTAGAAGCGTTCATATGGACAGGGTACACCCCTGATGTGGCCGAAGCCCTGCGATAGTTACAAGATGCGCCTCCCTTTCGGAAAAGTGAAGGCACCACGGCCACCCGGGTGGCTGTCACCCTCCAAGGGGTCAACGACCTTTGGGGATACTTGATCGACGCTCTCCTTGACAGTGGAGCCACCTCCGAGTTCATGCATAAACGATTCGCGGAGGACTCCCAACTGGAACTCGAAGCCCTGCCGCATCCCGTTCCGGTATACAACGCTGACGGGACGATAAACGCCGACGGGGCGATCACCCATGTCACCCACCTGCGGGTCACTATTCAGGATCACTCCGAAATTCTCACGTTTGCCATCACGGACACCGGGAACAGTGACGCCCGGTAAAGGTCGCGGGCGTGCGTGAATGGCCTCGACCTCGCAACCTGCGGGAGGTTCAAAGTTTCCTGGGGTTCCTCAACTTCTACCGGCGATTCATCAAGGACTTCGGCGCATACGCCAAACCACTCACCCGATTGACCCGAAAGGACAGCCCATGGAAATGGGGACCAGAGAAGGAAGAGGCCTTCCAAACGCTGATAGACTGTGTCACCGACGAACCGGTTCTACACTTCCCTACGGATCACGGGGCGTGGCGGGTCGAAGCGGACTCCTCCGACTTCGCCACCGGGCCGTCCTTTCGCAAGAACGGGAGGGGAAGTGGGTGCCGATCACATTTCTCTCTCAGGCCATGAATGACACCGAGCGCAACTACGACATCCATGACAAAGAAATGCTTGTGATAATGCAGGCCCTCACCAAGTGGCATCACTACCTCCAAAACGGGGGAGAAAAGCCTTCTGATCACAAGAACCTGGAGTACTTCATGACAGCCAAGAAGTTGAATCGGCGACAAGCACGATGGTCGCTTGAACTAAGCGAGTATCATTTCTCCTTGCTACATAAGCCGGGGAAAACGAACAGTCGGGCCGACGCGCTATCCCGAAGACACGGGTATGACACCCGGGAAAGAGGACAACCAGGACATCGTACTACTAACGGCGGGATTATTCAAAGAACACGCGATCTGCGCAATGCTGACCTTGGAGCATCCATCCGATGGGCCGAATCGGCCACAGAAGGGAAGGTCCTCAAACTTTGGGAAGAGGGGGAACCAGAAGGCTGGGAACAGCATGACGGCTTTAAGACTCGGAACGGACTCGTGTATGTGCCCCCGGCCATGGGACTGAGACATCGGGTGCTACAACATGTTACAAAAATGTCTGGGGCAATTCAGCCAGCCCCCCATCGAGTCACACCCAATAAAATTTTCAAGCTTTTTTGGCCAAAATCATGGCTTGGTGGGTGTTGTGGCCTGCTGCTTAGGTTTTTAAACACTTAAGGAATTTACGGACAACCTTGAACTGCCCCAGGCGTTCTAATACAACTACCGTCCATCAAATTTTACTGATTTCACTGATCTAGCTACCATAAACGGAAAGACACTGATCTTCGGCGTATACGCCCGCATAGCATTAGCAGAATGCGTTATTCGAGGCTAGCACCCTGTTACTTGGGCCCACAAAAAGGTCCAGCACCTTTTCCCCCCAAAACCCCGATGTGCCTGGTAGTCAGGGATGACGTATGACGGAACGATCACGTCTGATTGGCAGTGATACCCCGTTTGACCGACGCCAAGCCTGGCCCTCTCTTTTTGCTTTTCGACCACCATGCTCCCACCCGGAGCGACCCCAGCGAGCACAGTCTTCGCCGTACCGGAGCTCTGTGACCTGGTTGCCCCGTTTCTCTCCGCCTCCATCTGGGACCTTCGCACCTCCTCACTCATTTCCCGCCCCTTCACGCAGGCGGCCCAGCGACTGCTCTTCAGAGACGTCATCCTCAACCGCGGGACTTTCGATATAGACCATGTTTCGTCCATGGCCAACGACGATGAAGCTTCCAAAAGCGCGCGGCTTGCAGAAGTCTTGAAAAACAGTACCGCCATTGCTGGCTACATTCGGAGGATCAGGCTCGCGTTCGAGGAGGCTGTATTGCGACCGCTGGAGGCGGTTGACCTTCCAAACCTTCGCGCGGTCGTGTTCCACCGGCGCAAAGGCGGCGCCATCACGCAAAAATCCATCTCACTGGGTGCCGCGCTCCTCGCCCTTCCCAACGTCCAGCATGTCGGCCTCATCTATCCCATTTTCCACTCCGCAGCTGACGCTACCAGTCTGCTCGCGCAACATACCTCAAAACTCAGCAGCATTGCGGTCGTCTACGGGAACGTCGTCGACAAGGAAACGCCACCGCCCGCGGCTGCGCGTCGCGTCACCGTGCGTAAACTTTACTTGGAGGATAACCCCCACCATAACGACGTGAATTGGATGTTCCATGCGCAATCCCCTCTCGACTTGGTCTCTGTCGAAGACCTCTCTTTCGGGAAAACAATAAACGCGACTACCAGGCGATGCTTGCAAATGACGCGGGCGAAGTTGACGAATCTGGCGTTGGATGCTCGTACGTTCTTATATCTAGGGGCTTGGGTACTTGACTGACTTTCCATAGAACACGCAGTCAATCCCGCATTCCTTTATGATGATGTCGCTATCCCGGACGTCCTCTCTCACTATCCACGGCTCAAGCACCTTGTCATCACAAGCACTGGATCGGCACTACAAGATGCAGCGATGCTGCTCAAGGAACTGCCTACAGCCGTGAAGCTCGAAAGCCTGACGATCGTATTTGACCCTGGGTTGACGCCGAAACATTCGGACGAGGGCTTGTCGGCGTTGGGTTTGCTGCTTTCCCAGAATGAAAATGGGTGGGCTGACCCGAAACGTTGTGTCCTGAAGATCGTCGTGCCGAAGATGCGGAGGGAAAAAGTCAGGGCGAAGGTGTTGGAGGTGTTTGGCGGCTACGACGCTGTGGGGCATTTGTCTTTCGAATAGACGCTCAAATATGTGATCGTCCGACCTTGCCGAAACACGCTCGGGATTCCCAACTCCTCCGTCCATCGATTCGATTCCTTGAGAAATTCTGTCAGCAGCTTCATTCGTGGTCGCTTCAACTTTGTTGGATGGAATCCGTCTACGTGCAGCAGATATCTGATCATCGTCATCTGGTGAGTGATTAATTTTCAATTTTGTCTGGGAGGCTTCTTTTGCCCTATCTGCCGGTACCTCCAGTGGTCCTTGCGACGTCAGGAATCCGCATCCATGATGCCCCGCATGGCTGTGCTGGAAAGCTTCAATATTCTTACCGATCTCAATTATGATCTCAATTATCGTCGTGATCGACAGGCAACCTAGGATTCGGAATGACATCTTCGAAGTCTGTTCGGGTTTAGCCTTGACTTGCCCGCGTCGCCGTCAGCGTTTTACATCCTCAATTGTCTGATCTGACCAGTCGGACATAGGCAGTAATTGAACGGTTTCTTCGAGCCGGGGCGACAGCGTCATTTGGATGCCAGAGTTGCATAACTAAGCAATGCCGGGCACGGGTTTTGCCCGAGCACCGCGTAGCCTCAGGCTGACTCTTCCAAGAGGACTGGCAACATGATCACGAGTATTACAATCGCCTACTCATTACTGGCGACACTGGTTAACAACTTCCGCGTCGCTGGAACCAAGTTTGTCCAATGCTTCATATTGAGGGCCGTGAATTCCTCCGTTTACGGATGGCACAAGGCTCTCCGAATGGGGTATGTAGCACTACAGCGCCGAACAGCAAGGAAGTTGAAAACGAGCTCCGTCTTTCGCTCGAACGGCATGGAAAGAGCTGAATTCGAAAACACCGCCATTGACTGTGGTAAGCCAGAGCTGTTCGAACTGTGTGCGAGCTCAGCTTATTCGGGGTCTGTTTTTGCTAATAGACCTGTCGACGCGTAGAAGCGGACATCAAATGGCGTCGAAAAAGGCATCCGGCGATGATCACGTCCCAGCAGCGCTGCGATCAGATTTTAGGTTTCGTGGTGACACTTCCATGCGTCTGTGATTCCTATATCGGACAAGCACCGGTCAGCGTTCGCCGCTGCAGAGTCGGGATTCTTCGGCCGAATGGCGCGGCAGGAATCGGAAATGGGTCGGTCGTCACCGGTTTAGTTTTGATCAAATTGATGAGTGTCGTGTTTCTAAGGGAGTTGCTCCGGACCATCGTCACACATCCAAGTCTACTTCTCTCCAGCTCTCTAGCTCTTCATGAAGTCGACGTTCCTGATTCTGCCGCCTGCAACGGAAGAGCAATCAGGTACGAGCCTCACTAAGCAAGATGAGCGCCACTCATTCTTAGTCATGACCTTTGCACTGGTAGTTTTCTCATCCAGCCTGAGAAGGACAGAGCGAGCGCCGACTCTAGACTCCTTGTATCTCAGGTCACGATGTTCACTCGCCACTGACGACAGGCCAGAAAATCTTTGCGTCACTGCCAGAGTCGCCGACTTCAGCTCGGTATACCTAGCAGGCTGTCCTCTCACGTCCACCGACTTCAGCCTTCTCCTCCTCCCATTTCCGAGTTAAACACGGTGCTTGCCATATGTTTACCCACGCATCGAGTCTCGACATCAGGTGGAAGCACATTCCGAAACCAGGACCTCTTCCCACTGGCATGTCCGGGCCTGTTAAGCGTGTCACTTGCCGTTCTTAGGCATTCGAGCCCAAATTTATCTGCCCGCGGTCTTGGAACCTCGGGGTGTCGACAAACTAACGCTTGACGCTTCTTTATTAACGCTGCTTCTGGGTCCCGGTCCCATGGATGCGGCGTGACTACCGCCGAGTCCAATGTTCTATCTCCATTTACCTCTTCCGTGGTACGGGGTCGTCTTGTTAGATGACACTTACTCGACTTAGATTCGATGCTACAGCCAACTACGCTGCCTTCCCATTCCCCCCTATTATTTCTCGTCTCGAAACTTGATATGGGGCTCAGGCCAAGGTTCGCTCGTCTTGTCTGGAACTTGGCTTTGCTAAACTACTAGTAACACACAGTCACCGTGACGGGCTGGGGTGTGTTGTCAATTCTGATGTACACATGACGAGGCCTCAGGATTCACCGAAGTTCTCTTTTGAAGTTTTTTCTTGCTCACTGGCAGCAGGCTTAGGTCGCATTGAACAGTTCCCAGACCACTTCTCCACATCCGTGGAACCGGGTCCCTCGTTAGCTCCGTTTCCTTGGGACAATTCACTGATGACTGCTACTAGTATTTTGGGACAGATACGAATGACACACCGGTGCTACTCCCCGGAAATCACCCCAGGCCTTGGTTCATTCAAGTTCAAAGTTGAAGTTACTTCCCTGAGACTGCGATTGGGACTGCGATGTGGGCCGCACTCAGCACCGTCTACCACCCTACAAATCAAGTGGTGTCAGGCCCTCCATGGGATTTCCACTGTGACCAAATAGCCTTATGCGTTGAGAGTAAGTAAACGGAACGCCGGCGGTCCCGCTCAGTTCTCGGAGTTGCTGCGAACTGACTCCAACTAAACAGGCTGACGGTGCCCCATGATCCTGTGGTTCTGCATAGAACCGTGGGGTGCATTAGTACTATGCCGTGAAATGGACTACTCCTCTCATTGGCTCTCTCGCAAATTTATCCTGCTTTGAGTCGTAAGTAGCACTCTTGGTAGCGGTTGATTTTTATTGGATTTTTTTAGAACTTTAGAAGGGCCTCGGGGCCAAATATTAATAATTTGCACAGTTTCACTTCACTGGCAGTGGAACGGCTGGTCATCTTTGGCATTTTCTGCCGTAGTGCCGGAGCCGATGCGTTTTCCGTACTTGACACTTCCAACCTTTCAACCATCGGCACCCGAAGAAGTTGTATCTATCCTCCGAGTAAATTTAATCTTAAGTGGATCCTTCTCATCTCAGCGTCACGGTCTGGCTACGGAACTGGAACTTAAAGCTCAACATGTTACATAATCTTCAAACAAATTAAAGATAGTATCGAACGGGCCAAGAGTCCTGGGCTTCGGAAGGAAATGCCGAAGAAATTGGACAAGTATTCAACGAGCAGCAACCACGTCCGGTTGAGGTCGTGGATAATTCTGCGTCATGCTCAAACTGTTTCAGGACGATGACCAGGTGGCCGTCAACCGAGCGTCAAATTGTGAGCATCGACAATCAACACAACAATCAATCGCCCCGGAGTGATCGTTATTTACGCGGGCGGCCCGAGATGGTGGGACGATCGACGCATATCGGGCCAATTTTTGGACGTGGATCTTGTGCCAAAAACGGATGAAAATGTCATCCAGCGTGACGTGACTGATGCTTATGACATAGAGAAAAAGACGAAGGGCGAGGCGCCCCTTTTGGCACCCGCCTCTGCGTTCTCCCTTCCTTCCTTCCCTCCATCTCCACATTACGAATACGCCGCCACTCGCCTAATCTCTTCCCTTCCCTTCTCCACTCTTTCTCTCGCCGCTTTATAACCCTTCGACGAAGATCGACCCGATTTCTTGCGTCAGAAAGCAAGCGCACCGATGCATCCACACTACGCATCTCAGAGCCAGCGCGGACTCACATCCAACTCGTATTCCTCATCCCCTGCGCCTGCCGCTATAGCTTTCGAATACGCTCCAACTCCGGCACCCTCATCGTCGCCACCATCCATGGGTATAAAGCGGTATCGCAGTGCGGCCCCGACAAACGCCAAATCTTTCCAGTGCACTGGATATGGCGACTGTAGGATGGTATTTAGCCGCAGCGAGCATCTGGCGAGACATATACGGTGTGTATTCATCTCTCATCGTTTGAAGCCCTGTCTCGTTTCTTTTCCTTCCGTCCCGCTCCTCCCCTTTCCACCTTTCTTTCGTTTGGCATCCAATACATACTGCCTGAGCGGTGGCGTTAGTGTTTCATCACCATTCCTCCTGTCATACTACTCTAGACGCTGACGTCGAACGACAGAAAACATACCGGAGAGCGGCCTTTTACATGTCACTGCGAAAAACAGTTCTCTCGCCTCGATAACTTGCGCCAGCATGCTCAGGTTCGTCCTCCGATTACCTATGCTTTGTCTTATGACAATTCGATAGACCGTGCACTCTGGCCCCGAGGACCAGGAACTAAATGAACGCATGATGCGGACGCTCTCCGGGGTCAACGCGAGCATAACCGCTAATGCCCGCGGTCGAAGACGATACGGCAACCCAAACTCGCCGGTACCTTCTCCCGTCTCGCCAATGTACACGCCCTCATACGTCAGCTGTGCTTCCGTTTCGTCTCCTGGCTTATCCACAGCGAGCTCTTCTTCGTCATCATCGTGGTCCAGCTTAGGAGATCCGTACGAGCTTCCGTCCCGTGGTTCAGGTCACGCTCCCGACGTCTCTTTCGCGGCCGACTGCCATCCTTCTGGCTCGCATTCGTTGCCTGCTTCCCCTTCATATCCCTACTTTCATCACCGTCCCCGACTCCCCTCTCCGCCTTCGCAGGGATACCTCCCCGTCACCTCCCCCTACCCCCAAACTGCCCCAATCATCCCTTCTGGAGCTAACGACTACATGGCTGCTGGTCTTGTCGCGGCTCACGCGCACTCTCGACCACAGCATGAAGCTGTCGTTGTCAAACAGGAAGAAGGGGTCGATCTTGAGGAGTTTTACCGAGCTGTCTGTGCCCCACCCTCCGCTCTCGCTACAGGGTACGACAGTGAGGCGTCAATGTCGCCGGAGATTCCTGCACACAGTCTCCACTACCAATATCCGTCGTCGCCCACTCTCATCTCTGAGAAGGAGCTGACGAATGCGGAGTACTATCGTGCGGTGCAAGCGCAGTATTATTATGCTCATGCTCAACAACACCAACACCATCAACAGCCTCCGGCTGGTTATGCATTCGCTTGAAAGAACAACCATGTGAAATCTTACTTGTGTGCGTTTCCTTCTTTTGTGTTGCGTTATCATCCCGTTGACCTCTTGCTAAAGAATCTTATTGTGCTATTATCACCAATGTCGCTACGCCACGCGGGCCTTGCCACGACAAATACGAATCGCCCGCCATCTCTTGTTGCCATCACATTCTTTTCTCCCGAAGGTCTTCGCGTCGGCCTTCCCTTACAATATTCACTTCATATATTGCCTCGGGGCTTGTTGTTCTTATACTTATTGCTTCAGTTACTTCTCGACCGCTACTTATAGTTGCCCTCCTGTGGAGGGCAAGCCCAGTGCGAGCACTGGCTGGGTTACTTGCATCCCTTTGGTTTCGTCTCACTTCTTGGTTTGGCACATTACGCTTTTGGTGGAGATTAATTGCTAGGTACTTGCTTGTACCGTATCATTGATTTTGCTATGCATGTTGCATACTGGTACTAGTACTACATATTCGTGAATCGCGGGTAACAACTGCAGAGACCAATTTTCGTGGATCATAAGGTAGCAAACGAAATGTGCAGCGGCAATCAGTTGCTTTATCCCGTTGTCACTATTGGTGGCACAACTTTGGCAACGGAGCAAAGTGTCAACCACTGTAAACGTAAAAGCTTGTAAGATGAGACAAGGACTTGGAGGAAGCGAACGGACCTCGGAGACTTGCATGTTACCGATAGAGGTGCAAGGGGGCCCCAACGTGGAGTTGTGGCTCGGAGTGAGACACCTCGGAGTCCATCGAGCGACGAAGCTCGGACAGGCGAGCGACCGGAAGATTGATTTCGGCCACTGCAAGCTCCAAAGGAGGCTCCCAGCTTGAATCTGTCGGCGTGGGCATTGTCACGAGGAGGCCGACGGCAAGATGGCGCGATGATGGGGAATTCTGAGCCTTAATGCAGAGTGGGCTGGGAGGCCGGTGAGGCGCCCGGGCCGCGGCAGCCTGAGTTGGCGCAGCGGCTTCGTATGAGGCCCAGAGTGGCTGGTGGGCGGCTCTTTAGCAAAGAAAGATGAATTTGGTATCGACAGGCGTACGCACCATAACGTGGTCCCAATGGCCGTCCGTCGCGCGCTTTTCGTCGAGCAAGACCTGTTTGGCGTCGAAAATCCGGGGAGGGTCCGCGGTGCTAAAGTCGGGATGGTTGCTTGACAGGTCTCCGATGCTGGGGAACCACAGCAGCCGGTAGGCGAAGAGCCGAAAGAGGACCACGCCGACAGTCAAGATAAGCAGCATTCCCACCATGGCGCAGACTGGGAAGGAGGTATGAGTCCCGTCAGTCATTAGATTTATAGCCCATGACGCACTGTAAAAGACGAGGCTTTGGGACCCATATGCAGCGGATGATGCTGCCTGGGAATCGCTGCTCGGGGTGGTGGCTGGGGTGGATGTGGATAGCAGGGAGAAGGTTGGTGACACTGGTGCTGGAGGCATTCTTTAGGAAGCATAGTGCGCTGGACCGCTTAAATAAGAGAGCCCGGACAAGGAGCTCGTCGATTCCAGCACATATCGCGACCGTCGGAAGGTCTAGACTGGACGTCGGAAGCAGTCGGAAGGCTAACCGGTCTATGCCGCACGGCGTGACGCCACGTGTGACATCATTTTTCGTGTGACATCATTTGCCTATTTGTCACACACCGAGAAATTCGGGCACAACTGGTAGTGGTAAATTGTTCAAGAATAAAGGCTTCCGATGGCAATTGGATCTTACAGATTTTCAGTTACATGGCTCTTCTATTAAGCAGATGCCGTGTGAATGTGTGTGCATGTTTGGCATAGGCATTGGCAATTCATTTGCTTTACACAAGGGGTGTCAAGATGCTTATCACAGACATGGGGTAGGAGGCCAGGAAGGGTGAAAAAAACTTTTGCTATGTAAAAGTTTGGGGGGGGGGGTCCCGGTAGGTTTGAGGTTGACTTTGCATCATATTTGTAGTATTTTAGCATGCCAGTGGAAAATACAGTGGGTATACAGAATGCCTAAGTACTACTTTCCTCTGGGAAGGCTGTCAACACCTTCCTTATGGTGCAGTGTGACTGGTGTTATAAATTGATCATTGCTGATTGATGACATATAGCCTTGGATGGCCTATTAATGACTGTGTGAGGGCTCAAGTCCTATATATCAACAATAAGTAACAGTATTCTGATGAATTTAACTGAAAATATGAATTTTATCACCACTTTTGATCATATCATTAGGTCACGTGATAGCAACCATGGGAATATATTACCCGATGTAGTAAGGGGGTCCCAGAAGGCCCTTAAAAAAGTTTTCAACAGTAGATCTGATTTTTGAATAATAACACCGGCTTGGCTTTACACTTCCAAATTTGAATATAAATTAAAACATTTGAGGAACATATGTGCTCAAAAACATATGTTTAGCTATAACACACTACTATCAGTGGAAACCTGCACACTGGCCGCTACTGACCTATTTCATTCAATTCAGCAGGCCAGTAACCTGTGACTATTTGGCTGAAATGCTCAATTCAGCTGTAGGGTAAACTTTTGTGTGTGTGACCTATCACTTAGGCCATCCAGACCAAATCCCCAGAGTCATGCCATATGACATGTTACACAGCGTCTTAAAAACGAAATTTTATCAATAGACACTGAAGCTAGTAGCACTGGTGTCATACAGTTTTATGTATAGTGTCACATAGAGTGATAAACATAACAAATTTCCAAACATAAAAGCAAAATTTTGCTATTTGATTATACAATCATCAGCAGAGAATGTCACAGATAGTTATAAAACAAAGTTGTCTATTTTGACTATATGAAATACTTACATTCAGTGACCTATAGTGGCAGCTGAATGCTCTAGTTGTCTCAGAAGTGTCCAACTATATGCATGAACGCCGTGGCCACGTCTGCGATTTTTATCCAAAGTATCATTGCGAACTCAATTTTATTGAGATGTATTGGGGTGCTGCAAAGTATATCTATCGCAAGTCTCCTCGTCCTACAACTATTGATGAGATGGAAGCAACGGTTAAACACTCACTTGATCAAGTCTCCAACTTGTCTATTCGCCGGTATGTCTTTCAGTTCCATGAAGCTGTTGATGGCTTGACAACTTTCAGATTCGCCAATCGCGCAGCAAGATTTATCTCAGCATATGCCCATGGGCTGAATGGAGAGGAGCTCGTGTATGTGAAACGGAAATACAAGAGCCATCGCATGCTTCCTGCTCATATCCTTAGAGAAGTACGCGCAGAAATCATGACTTAGAATAATACTGTTTAATTACTACTGAAAATACACAATTTTGTCTTTTTCAAACTTCTGAGGCCTCGTTTTTGTCGTTGATGCCATCAATTGATTGCTGACCAAACGTGCGGGCTTCCCACAGCCCACACCTTACCTATATTGGCTAGCAAGTTTACATTGTGATGTAAGTAGTACTACAATACAATCATGCCAAATGATTTCTGAATAGATCATATATTTTTTAAAAATTAATGGCCATTGATGGCCGCTGATAGCAAGTGATGGAAGAATGGAAGTTGTACCTTGCCTGAAAAAAGTTGTATCTAGGCCCACAAAAGTTGTACCAGAGGCCTTGACAACATGTATCTTGGAAAGTTGTGATTGTTGCATTCTAAGTTGAAGTAGCTCTTAAGAAGGTTGTACCTTAGAAAAAAAGTTGTACTCGAAAAAGTTGTACTCAAAATGAAAAACCAAGTTGTATTTAAGAAAGTTGAAGATGCTGCTGGAAAAGTTGTCTGCTCATTATAAGTTGTCAATAGTCAGAGAAGTTGGACTTGGTGAAACATGTCTTTGAGGGGGGGGTTGTCATCAAGTATAAACATGTCACCAGCTAGAGTAAAACATGTCACCAGAAAAGTTGTCTTTGGGGTTGACTTGTACATGTCCACAGGGTGAAAAGTTGTATCTAATTTTCAAAGTTGTATGTGAAAATTGTGAACTGAGCCCCATCAATTGCCTCGCCTTGGGGTCTGTTGGCACCAGTGAAATTCGAGTGGTCAATCGGTGTGAGAGGCTGTTGAAGTGGCTGTTGGATGAATCCATTGTTTACCCCAGGGTGTTGTGATTGCGGGGAGTCAGGACTTCCAGAATAGTACAGGGTGGGGTCATAGGTGTTGTGAAGAGCAGGATGGTGAGCAGGATGGTGAGCAGGATGGTGAGCAGGATCAAGTGGTGGGAGTGCAGAGTTTGCGGAAAGCGGTTCTGCAGAGGCTGCAGCGTTGGCCAACTCAGCCAGCAAATCATCCATCTGCCCAAGCAGTCAGATATCACAGCATCACCCATCTTGACAATGACACACCTTGGGAGCCTGCAAACAACAGCCCTGCACTCGACGAAGAGAAGAGACAGACAACAAAGCAAGAAATTGGTGGGCCTCTCATGCCGTCTGATTTCTCCGGCCGCTAACGATCGGCAACACTCGCTTAGTACTGACCCATTTCATTCAATTCAGCGGGCCTGTGACCTGTGACCGTTTGGCCGAAATGTTCAATTCGGCTGCAAGCCGAATTTCATGTGACCTATTACCTGATTAGGAAATTCAGCATGCTGTAGGCGCAAAAATTTTGAAAATCTGCCTAATCAGGACACTTTGGGACTAAAGAAATAAGCTGTGACCCGTGACCAGCCAAAATATTTCGGCCAAAAAAAATCCGATGTGACCGTGACCCGCAGAATTGAATGAAATAGGTCAGTACTTCTACGACACATCTACAAGTGGAGTAGAAGTGCGCTCTAAGAATCCGCACTCATCAGCACCCCAAACACCATTGCTGGAGATGTTAATTACGACTCCCACTCTGGCCCAGGGCAATTCCAACGCCCTCTTTGGCGACATCAATCTCACCTCAAAATTGGTCTGGTGACCAAACCCCCGTTCACCTTCAATGGCGATCAGAAACGCGGCCGCGCATTTTCTCTACGCGGTTTACACCTATGCCCGCCTTGCCCCTGAGGCCTTTGTGGTCAATGGAGAGGCAAGCAAGGACAAGGCCGTCCGCTACGCCATATCGTTCATGGCAGCAGGACCCGCTCAGCAATGGCGCCGAGGAGAACAAGCAAGATTACACTCTCTCCAAACTGAAGACTTCCGCCTATAGTGATGGCCAGGTCCGGTTCGGGATTTCGGTTCGAACCCGAACCGGACCGGACTGAACGCGCGTTCGGTGTTCAGGTTCGGCCAAGGCCGTTTCCGAACCGAACCTGGCCCTCGGTTTGGCCAGGTTCGGCCGTTTTCGGTCAAAAAACGCCGGTTCGAACCGGCGTTCGGCGTTCACGTTCGGCAAAATCCCGTTTTGAACTGAACCGGCGGTCCGGCGTTCGGCCAAAAAGGGCCAAGAACCGGACCTAACCGGACTTGGCCATCACTATCCGCCTATCACATGAGTACGAAGGATGTCTACCAGTACACTGACGACTTCGAGGACCTAATGGACCTTGTCGGATTCGAAGACGTGTTGGTCAAGGTGACCAAGTTCTGCCATGAACTTGATCCCCTGATCAACAACAGAATCACCGGACCGGAGTCGGAACTGGAATCTGAATCGTCTCCAAGAGGCCGAAAGGGAGGTTCCTTTGAGATCTACTTAGCTTGCTTTACTTGCAGGCCCAATGATCTGTCTGTTGAAATCTGTTCTGTTCCGGGTGCACAATGTTAGGAGGAGCCTTGCATGGCCCGACCTGAAGCCTGACACTTAATATCATAATTTACTTATACAATAAAAATACCAGGACTTTCCAATATATTATTAATAAAGTGAAGATAGTTGTATAACTGATAAAACAAAATATAAGGCCTGATATGAAAAAAATAGAACACTCAAGTATCAGGTGCACTGTGGTAACTATAGTGGTTTAGCTTTGAGACTATATACAAATATCCTGATTATTAAATTCATCATTGATGAGACCCACTCTGATTCGGCGAGCTTCCCTCTCATGGGAACACCATTGTTCCCATAAATCATATGTATTTAATTGAATTCAACTTATAGTGCAATGCCCGCCGTGTAATGGGCAAAGGGTTGGTAACGGGTTTGGCGGCGCTTGGCCCGGGATTTCCCGGGAGAGTATTTCAAATATGTCTCTGTCGGCGGCACGGGTAGGGAACGCGCGTTACCTCCTGTACTTGGCCCCCGCGGGGGGGATTTCGGGCAGGCATTGCATTGCTTAGGTATTTATGATGCGTGTAGTGTTGCCTCCGGCTGCTCGAATCCCAAAAGGCGGAGCTACAGGGCCCCACGTTTGGTCAGGGGTGATCGATGTGTCTGCCGTCAGGCTGCGGTTGCGGCGTCTTGGCGTGGCCGTGCAGCCCGTAAGCGTAAGCGGAGAAGCGTCCGGACTCCGCAAGGATTCGGAAGCAGACAGCTTGGTCGACGATGATGAGTCCTAGTAGTTTCTGTTATGGTTGAACCTGAAGACCATTTGCAGGTTAGACT